CCGGATATTGTGTCGGTGACACATTCAACACTGCATTGCACCTTATTATATTACCCATAAGCACAACCATAATGAGCTGTTCAAAAAATAACGAGGTGAACCAAATCATACTGATGTGGACTTTAATAGGTCGGTTTACCCATTCACCTTGAGACCTTTATTTTTCTACAAGAATGTGAATGTATGATAAAGACTATATTACACATATCTTTACGGTTCCATTGAGCTCCATGGAAAGGACATGGAGTCCTGCAGGGACGAGAAGAAACTGCAAACACAGACTTTTGTCTTTGGTCTTTCAGCAGGCTTTGGAATCATTTAATAGTAAAATATCTATCCACAACGGGCTCAATTATTTTCAGCTCGTATCGTCCGTTTCCTTGTCCTAACCGTGGGTCAGAGAGGGAGCCAATGTTTGAGGCCTGGCTAAATGAAAGGAGGGCCTTTTCTCTCCTATATTCAGACTGCTTTCCATCAGTTGTGCCTCATTGGCCCCAGTGTAGGTGCTGCAGGAGACGGTCGAGATGAGAATGCCACAAATGGCCTGAAACTAATGTTGGCCTCGCTCACCCTGCAGATTTACAGCACTACCCAAAGACTTTCTGTCTTCTCTTTTTTCCATCTCAGCCTGTCCCCCTTTCCCCCTTTTCCATTTCCCCGCTGTAGAGTTTCTCAAAATAAGTAGTTTACGCCATCTACATCAGAATCAATTTAAGTCTAGCTCTCCATTTCCGCCGCACTTGCATCTGTCATGTCAAATAGCGTGACAGGGAAAGCTTTGACGCATATTGCATTTGAGCACAATAGTAAATCAATGGCATCAAAGTTGCGCCACTTGTGGTTTGTCATGACTGAATTGCACATGTCAAGGTGAAAATGGCCTGCAGGGGATTGGCACTCTGTTGGTGTGTCTGACTGAGAAAGAGCTTCTTTTCTTTCTTTGTTTGGATGAAGTGAAATTAGCTTTCAGAGGCTGAACCAGAGTATTTTCATGTGAGCCATAAGAGCTGTGATGACGATGGTAGCGCCATAATACGCTGGCACCTCAATAGTGCTATAAATATGACATAATGACAACGAATGAATTAATGAAAGCTTTATGATCATATGAATTAATATTTACAATTAAATCAGCAGAGACTTTCTTTTGTATGTGGAATTGGATTTGCCCAGGATTATTGAAATACCCTACAGCAGCAGAGCCACATTAGCCTCTCTTTTATACTCCGTGACATGCTGGCTGCTCTTTCTCCACTAGCAGTGAATCAAAGAGAAACACCACTACCGCTCATCCGCACACGTCATTGGGCCCGCCATTTGAGCCTTTTGATGCTTGCTAATTACACTTCGAGGGTTAATTGGCTTTTTTCAAACCCGGAGAACCCGACTGTTTGATGGCTGGAGTGTAGAAACACAGGTGAAGATAACTCAAAGCGTTTACCGCAGCGCAGGAGAGATGCTGTGTCCTAAAATGAAATGCAAAAGGTTGTTCTTGGCCACTTCTGAGAGCAGCCAGAAAGAACACGAAATCCCCACCGATGTCTCCTCGGCTGCCTGTCAGAATGGAGAGTTGTGTTGCGGAGAGACAGCATGAGTCACAACCCCCATGGTGCACTGCTTTCAGCTACGACGAGGGCTTAGACACACCTATATTGTGCTCACATACAGTAGTGCTGGAAGCAATCTAGAACACACACACACACACACACACACACACACACACACACACACACACACACACACACACACACACACACACACACGAAGCCCTTGAGGTTTAATCCACCCATCGAACACCCGACATGTGAAAGGGGGGATGAAAGAGGGTCCATTTCTCCAGCAGGGCAGCACAATTAGGTGCCTCCCCTGACACTCCACGGTCCGCTGTGTGTGTGTTTTGTGCGAGCTTGAGTGTTTTCTTCTTTGGTGGAAAATCTGTCCTCTTGCCGACACATTGGTGAAAGGCGATTTCCGTAATCCGGGAGTGTAAGCCTCGCTGTACAAATGGGCGTAAGGGACTTTGTGTGTGTATGTCTGTGTATATATGTGTGTGAGAAATGCCAGCAGAAAGCTGCACGTCTGTCTGAGCGTCTGATAAGAGGCATCGAGTGAGGAGAGTTTAGAGGAGCAGCACACAGCTCAGTGTGATGCCTTCATGGGAAACTTGCTTTAGATTCTTCTTACTTCTAATGTTTGCTGTTATCCGCCGGTTACATACATGCATGTTGGGTAAAACCTTTTTTCTTTATTGTGAGAATTGTGAATAATCTGCAGGGCAACATTAAATCCCTTTAACACCCTTTTAAAATATTCATATGTACTTATATGTAGTTACTGCCAGAATACTTCTACATCCTTTTAAGTCAATTTCAGTCAAAATTAATTATTTATTGCAGTCTATACATTTTAATTATGGCTGTCAAATATGCATCCAATTCTTGGATATTCTTCCCTGTGTGCTGTATTTTCATAATTCATTGCATAATTCAGGGGGGAAATGATGTTGGAATGCTATAATCTAAATCCCTATTGACTACCTTCCCAACGTTTGATGACTATGACTATTTATACTATAAATAGTGCATACTTTCCACTGTAGCGCCATTTAGTTTCTCTTTGCTGCTCTTTCCATTGAGACTGGCAGAGCAGACCAGGGGTGTTTCTCAATCTCGAGTAAAGCTGCTCCAGAGCCACTATTTCAAGCATACTACGACATCAAGTGCCGCCGAAAGTACTGTTCCAATCTCCAGCATACTTGGAATTCTACCGAGCCCGGCGTACTTCGTTTGGAGAAATTTCAAGGCTGCACTCCGCGGTCTTAAAATCCCCACAATGCTTTGCGCACAGACCAATTTCCCCAAATCTGTGGCGGAAAATGTAAGGCGGGGCCTCTCATATGACGCACACCTGGGCACTTGCTCGCCTGTTCCATTCTTCGTTTTCCGAGGCTAGGAAGGATTCTTGCCTCGCTTCTGAAGCAAGACGCTCGGAAGACATGTGCTACCAAGCAAGCGTCCTCGAGATTGAGAAACACCCAGAGGTATTCATATTCAGGCAGCTAATGAAGGCCAAGTGAGTGTCTAACTGGAGGTGAACATATTTTCCTGTCTTTAATCTTGAATCTACACAGTGATGTGTGATGAAACAGATTCCCGCAGTGATTCTGCCCAGGAACCTTTCTTACATCCTTTCTTAGTCCAAGCATCAGGCCAGACATTTCATTCATTGCTAAGGAAGTCTGTATCTTTAGATGATATTACTACAAGATGGAGTGACTTTAAACGTTCAGACAGCGTTTAAATGGACATGTATAAATAGTTTTTCATCAGGTTTTTAGAGTGTCCCATTGATGTGTCTGCACATGTAAAAAATATCCTACTTTCAGAAAACAGGAGAAGCCATCATCCTGTTTATGCAAAACCTGAATTTGATTGCCTCAGTACTCCGCGAGAAACGAATAATAATCATCATCATCATCATCAGCACCATCATCACTACTGTGATACTAACAAGCAGTCTCTATTGTTCATCATTATAATAATATAGTACAATAATATATTGTTGTTGGTGACTTCATAAATACAGATATTGTGTCTTTTTCATCTGTAACTTGTAATGTAATGAAATATACTGACTGAACGTGAAGAAGTTATATTAAAAAAAATTGTATTTGTTTTTCTCATTGTATCCCCCTTAGGTATCATCTGTTTTGTAAATGAACTAAAATGAGTACACCCTGTTCAAAACCTCCTCCTCTCTGAGGATTGAAGATGTATAAGTGTTACCTATCTCTTCTTTATCTACAGAATAAATGCATACGAAATGCCATGAGAAAAAAAAAAGAATTAAATAGATGTTTTGAATTGTATGTATTGGATCATAATCCCGTGTAAACTGTCCATCGCCACTGTTCATAAACTTAACCTCTTGAATACTGTTAAAGGTGGGGTAGGTAATTTTGGAGAAACCAGCTCGAGTGCGCTAGAATTTGAAAATACACAGCCGGAAAAAATCTGCCATTTCCTTACAGAGCCCCTCCTCCAACACCACACGAACGCGCACTTCCTTACAGATCCCCTCCTCCAACACACACGAACGTGCACATGAACAGATGGAAGGCTGACAGGCAGGTAGGCCATCCAGTTACTTTAGCCGGGCCGGCTCAGATGATTGGTCGTGCTTTTTACAGTAACACGGCTTCCACAGATGAAATGTTTTTATGGATTTTTTGTCAAAGCACTTCAGATATTAATTGCTATCGGGATGTTAAGAGCATTCCATGGAATATAACAAAAAGTGTATCTCGAGCAGGTTTCTCAAACTTACCTACCCCACCTTTAAGCAATGAGTACTTCTTCTAATACTTAATGTATCGATATGTGCACATTTTAGTATCAAATCATTAGCATCTTTCATAGCAAATCAAACAAATACAGTTAACTACTTTGATAACGAAAACACTAAAGCATTTTTCAACACTTATTGATCTGTAAAAGTGTAGTTAACAAGTTAACCAGCCTCAAAACAATATGGATGTCATGATCACCCATCGATTCAGATCTCCAAATGGATGCACTGTGATGTGAAAAACACTTAAGCCAGCGTTATTAACAGGTGCAGGAACACCACACTGAGAGAATACTCCTGAGTAATCCATAGATCTATTTTTCTGAAACCAAGCATGAAGTGCATATTTGTGTGCTTTCCAAGCGAGGGTGATTTTTTTCCTGTCTGTGGCACCCAGAGGCAGTGCAGACAAATCACCTGGCATCAGGACTTAAATCAGAGACAAGAGCAGCGCTTTTAGCCTGCTGGGTGTGCTTGATAGAAAATAACAGAACGTTGTGTCTCTTGGCCTCATGGTGATTATAAGAAATATGACTCTATATACCCACTCCTCTCCCCTTGTCTACCTATCTTAGCGTTTCCCTTAGCAAAATCAAGTTATAAAAGTGTTGTCATGTGTGGTGTTTGATGGATTTATTCAAACTGTCACTCACTCTGACAAGCATGTGAGGGAAGGGTCCTCGGGAGTTTTCAGGCACATTGATAGGCGGGATGACCCAGTCTCTCTTCTGTCGCCTTAGCCCATTGACGGAGGAGCTCCTCTGATGTTTTCGTGTGAACTTGATAACTCGGGGTTGGGAGTCCCAGGCTCTTGACAGCATTTCTTCAATGCCAACCTGAAAAGAAAAACATAAACATTTAATAAGATGCTCCATCTCGCATGTTATTATATTAAGAATGCCATGTTGCTGCGACAGGTTGGAAGATGAAGCTCTAAAGTGTTGAAATAAATTCCCTCTTTTTCCCTCAGCCAAAATTGAAAATGTAATTCTGGATGTCACGCTGACAATGAGCCCGTTTTGGAAGAGCGACAGGGTGACAAACACAAGGACATTTTTCTGAATACGGCTGAATCACATTTCATGAGGCTTTTGGCAGGACACTCTTAGCCTGCTAAGACCTCCCCGAGGCTACATGGCTGGGCTCTGTCCACAGAGGTGCCGTGCTTTGTCTGCATCCCCGCATAGATTTTTGGAAAAAAATCAGACTTTTTTTAGACTGAATATAGGAAAGAGACGTAGCTTAGCCACCGTTTCTTGACACACAGGTTTGAAACCTTGGCGTTTTAAACAATCTTGTTTTTTGGATCCAACAGTGACCATGTTTCAATTCTTTAGGTCAGGGGTTTTCAAAGTGTGGGAATGTGAGCCTCCCCTCAGAGAACATAAGAACAGCCGCGCCCCCCCTCCCAATTATTATTGCTATTATTATTATTATTGTTGTTGTTGCTATAATGCAGGGGTATTCAATTGCATTTCAAAGGGGTCCAGTAAGAGAAAATGTCATTAAATGCTCTGTTTTCGCTGTCTACCTTCCACCATTTGAAATTACTCCAACTGTTTCTCTTCTCTTAGGTGATCAAAATATAACCCTCATGAACAAAAAAACACACTTTGTAAAGGTTACATTTCTAGGACGAAACACGGACTACACCCAAACAACACAGAGGTAGTGAACTGTTGTGACCTGTTGTTTCACATTGGCTCCCTTTTTCAGACCTGAAGGTTGCTGCGTGTGCCTATCCCTGCCCTCTCTGCCCTGCTGTAGACAGAAAACAATGTTACACTTTTCCCTAGCATCAGATAGAACAGGTATTGATGAAATACCAGTGTAATCACAAGCCGAGCAGCAGAGAGAAACCAGAGACTTCTCTGCACTTTTGTTTGGATGTGGATACTTCTTATTTCTAAAGTTGAGGTACCAACTGCATCATACAGCACTGCGGTATTATTGGAAACCTTTGTGGGAACGTATGGGTGTTTTGCAATGACTCCCTCCAGCTACAGCTGCAGAGAGAAGATTGTGTTCTAACTCATCTTTCCTGGTGAAAGGAGGGTTAGAAGGGTGTGTAAAAGACTGAGTGTTTTCCCCCCCTATCCTCGATGGTGTCCTCCTGTGTAAGATGGTTGTATTGCTGTAATCCACATAATCCTATTGTTGTCTCTGCCTCCCCTGTACACACACAAACACACACACACACAGTATGTGCTGCTGTCACCTGAAGCACAGCTCATCCCACCTGGAACACAGAGAACGTGTGCAACACAAGCAACTCTGGAAACGTCCCCATGCCAAAACAAAGGCCGGCAGTTCATCATATCAATACAGGCTACACCTGCTTTGCCTGCGAGAGAGGCAGAGTGGAAACTGCGCCTGAGCAAATGCAGGGATTACTTTCCATCTGTTTTGTTTTAACCCTTCACTCACAGCTCAGAGGATTGGACTGTCTGGACCTCTGAACAGTCGGGCTGAGTGTTTGTAGCGGGCAGCCGACCGGGTGGATGGTTAGAGGACAGAGAGAGGAACCAGGGGACCAGATGTGTTTCCCAGATAAGATAACTCTCGTTCTGGCTCCACTCATCCAAAACACTCACAGGTACCAACTGGCACGTGGGTGCAGCCAGAGCCCTCCATGGGCGGCAGGGGGAATTAGTCAGTGAATCTAAAGCTGTGTTTGATCAATCGAAACAAACAAGGGAAAACAAACATATTTAAAAAAAAAGAGAGGATAAACAACACTCTCTATGGCAGATGATGATGAATCATTAGGACTGTCGCCATGTCAGTGGCCACATATCTGATAGCACTCCTAGCTCACTCCAGTGTGCTGCCTAATGACTGAGTCCGTATCAGATTTGTCTATCTGCGGAGAAACACAATTAATTCTAACTAATTATTACTATTATTACTATTACTATTACTATTATTATTATTATTATTATTACTTTGAATTAACTCGCTCCGTACACCAACCAGCGCTCTGACATATGCAGCCCATCAAGCCCGACGATAACGAGGTCGAAGCATCCTATTGGTCGAGCCACAACATTCCTTTGGAAATGTTGCCAAAACAAGAAAACGAATAAGAGAGAGGGTGAGGCAGGGAGACAGTGAAAGGGAGACGTTCCTTATTGTGAGCCTGCGTGTGGATGATATCGGCGTAGTGTCTGCATGTGACTGTCACTATCAAACAGCATGCCAGATGACAGGCTGATGGCATCGTGACAATACCAGAATTACAAAGGGAAGAAAGAAAAAGTGGAAAAAGCTCTCCGTGGGCTGCCGTAAATCTAGTTGTTTATTAATCTTTTGAGATTTTACTGTCTGAATGTGTGTGTATGAATCCAGTTGGTGCATAGTGTTCAACCATGCCTGTGTGCACATATGGGAAATCATGTGAGCGGCTGACCTTGATGCAGGCATGTGGGCGAAATAATGCATCAACATATGTGCGGGTGTATTTGTCTGCGTGTGTCCCAGTGTGTGTATGTGCGTGAAAACATGACAAGGAGTCGGTTAGTGTGTCCCCGATGCGCCGGCGGCTCCTGAGACCCAGAGGCAGCGGGGCCAGCTGGCAGCTCCCAGCTCCCAGGCAGGCGGCACATTGCTGGGGCATTCTTTAGGCCAGCAGCCCCCGGCCCTGGAGCTGACATCTGGAGGTTATCAGTCTGACAAACAGGCAGAACTATACATAACGAGTGTGTGCTCATCTCCCATTCTCTGTTCATTGGGGCTCTGAAACATTTGAAGGAGGTTTTTTTTATGCTCTTTTTTGTATGTCTTTAGTGTTGCAGTTCCCTTTGCTGGTTCGCTATAACAAAAAGAGATCACAGTGGTAGTCTTCAGGAAAGGGATTGTTCTCCCATGAGATCCTCTTTCAAAAAATATAGCGAAGACAATTTTTTTTACTTCATATAAAAAAAGTCTTCAAATTCTCATAGCTGCTATTTGCCTGTTGAGATTTGCAGCTTTCCGGAGAGGATTGTCAACAAAATCAGGCCATAATCACAGAGTTTAAGCACACAGCAGAAGTGCAACCATCCAACCCTGCCGGTGTTGCTTTTCCACGACCAGCAGACCCCAGGGTCCTACGTTCCACCCTGCTGCCGGCCTTCTCCGTAATCTACCTTGAACAGGTGAGGCTGTTTGGGGAGAGTGCGGTAAAAATGCAAATTAAATAAGCACTAAAACCCACTCTGGCAACCAGTCGACTGCAAATCCAGTGGTGCATAACTGATGGGCTGTAAGCTGGTGGAGAAGGCAAACCAACGTGCCATGAAATCAGTACGAGTAGGAGAGCACTCAACGAGAGGCCCTACCTGTGTGGGGCGCGATAGCCTGAATACATAGAAACAGCGGAAAGGGCTCTCAGGCCAAAGATGCTCCACACTTCAATTGCTGTGGTATTGTACACTGGGAAATTAATACTAAAATGAGCCGGTTGATCATTCCAAGTATGCTAATTCCTGTGGAAACAGCGCCGTGAGAAACTAAGCCAGTTATTAAAATCAAATCAATGCACTCACGGCTGATATACAACAAAGCAAGCAGAGCAAGAGAGAAAAAGCCACTGTATATTTGTGTTGATGCCAATTCATCTGAGTAGAGATAAATCAAGCTTAGCATTTGTCACACTACAACAGTTTTCTCCACACATTATCTGTGTAAATGAGCTGCAAATGGAGTCTTTTAAACACCATGAGAGAAGAGGATATCCTGACCTGAGCTGTTCATATTCTACACTGCCACGTTGATACTGCTGACATAGGGTTGTGGTTAGGTTATGCAATTATGATAAACTCCAAATTACTTTCAGAACATTGTGAGGGGCTCAGATAACATCTACTCACCGTGTGTCTGTGTGTGTGTGTTTACCAAACTGGGTAAGACAAACTACATGCAATCGTGTTTGTGTGAGCTGTAATTGATGTCGGTTCAGAGCTAATTAGCAACTTGTTGCATGCTAACATGGTTAATTAACTAAATATGGTAAACATTGAACTTTAGCATAGTCTTTGTGAAAAGTTTAGCTGATGTTAGTATTTCACTCCAGGAACTGCTGATACATATTCTTGTTGATAAGTAAGTATGCACCCCAGCTCACTATCGTTGTAACATATTAAGAAGATCTTAATATCAAATTATCAAAGTTTTTTCAAAGGTCAAATGTTCAATATACGCTTCCCTGGATCATTAACTTGAAATCACCTTCAGCTTGTAGCCTACTGATGGTGCACTCATTGATTTACGGATTCATACAGGCAGGAGAACTTTCTTGACTTTATACATATTGGATTTTTCCGGCTGTGTATTTTCAAATTCTAGCGCACTCGAGCTGGTTACTTCAAAATTACCTACCCCACCTTTAACAGTATTCAAGGGGTTAAGTGTATGAACAGTGTCGATGGACAGTTTACACGGGATTATGATCCAATATGTATCATAATATATATATCCAATTAGATATTGGTTGAATGGATTTGTACTATTCAAACTGCATTTGAAATGTGAAACTCTTACTTTTTTCAATTTGAATAGCCAACACAGCCCTCGTGAATATCTTACAATGTTAGTTTATATCAAGAGACACAAACTCAAAACTAGGGAGCAACTTTGAGAGGGTGTAGCTCAGGAATGGTTCATTTGAACAAGGTTCAACTCACTGTTTGTGTGTCTCACATTGAAAGTGTACGGTGTAGAAAAACCTGTTTGCATAGGCCTATGGGAACATATCGACATAGGAACATATTGATGACCCTATTCTGTGTTTCTGCTAACGATTAGTGTTTTTCATCTCAATCGTACTAACTGTAAAACTGAAGAAGCAGGACAAGAGGTCAGCAGGACACAGGAAGTCCACATGGGCTGAAACAACATGTCCTTGTGAGTGAGAGCCTTTTCTGAAAGGCTGTCAGACATTATACCAGGTTACAGATTAAACCACACTCTGCTCTGTATGAAATGACTTTCCCATTGTTATCAATGTCAAACGAAATGTTGGCTACATCTAACTAAATGTTAATTTCTGCAGCGTTCAAAATATAATAAATAATAATATATTGTAATAAAAATAGAGTCAGCCGGAGGAAAAGGGTCTGCCGCTAAACTACGATCACTTAGAAATGACATCCTTCCCACTCAAGTCATAAATAGTAGATCTTAGGACAAACTGTTTTAAAGGGGGATTTTTCAGTCTTGCGGAGGTTGTCACTCAATGTTTCACTCAATTGCTTAAAAGTCATACAGTTTTAATGATCCAGGTCCATCAGAAAAGGAAGTATTGGACTGTATAAACAAATGAATAATCAAACTCAAAGACCAACCAAAGTGCTTTTTGGTTCAACCCGGTCCCTGTATCAAATTATCCTGTAGCACACATTTCATTTTAATAATTAAATGTTGTAATGACTTTGTTCTTAATGAAACAGGAATTCATTTCATCCCTCCTCAGGGCGTACCCACAGATTGAAACTATATTTGACTTGACGCAGTACCAATTATTTATACCATCCGAGGAAAACAAGAGTAGTGTGTTGTGACAGGGACGCCTGTAAACAGGGTTCAGGCAGAAACACGTGATGTACTGTACGTGTAAAAGCCTGTTTTCAAATTTCCATGTGATTAGAGGAAACACATTTATTTCTTGTTCAGTTATTGAATATTTCCCCGACTCCATGATGTGGGGAACATAATTATACAGCGAAACTACATCACCTGGTCCTCGCAGACTCCGGCAGAGTGGAACATTAGCTCAATCAATGTCAATTATTTCCCAGTCTCCATTATTGCACTACCAGGAGTGGGCAGAATTTTAATCCCTACTCTGCAATTGCTTTAGCTACATGAGTTTCAGGCTTTTTGTCATGATTAGAAACATGACTGAACATTAAGCCCAATGGCGTGCAACAAGTAGTGGAGGAAAAATGATAATGGGTGACTCGCTCCAACAAAGTGCAGCTCGGTGGTAACAGCGGCTGTACAGTACATTCAGTACCCTGTGTGGTTTTACAGTCTCTGTTAGCTAGTAGGCCACAGTGACCACCAACTGGCAGCCCGCGGGCCAAATCCGGTCCGCCAGAGATTCTCATCCGGCCCGCACGACGGGGGTGACTGTGGCGTTGGCGGAGTGGTTACTGCGTTCGCCCCCCACCCTTTTTTTTTTACAACGTCTCGTGAGTAAGGTGCAGTACCGGAGTCCAACAGAGAGGCAGCAGCTGCGGGTCAGTAGACTGCGTAACCTTCCCTGCCTTGAAGAAGAAGTGATCCTTCATTGTGAAGAGTCTGGGCACATGCGCACTGCAGATCGGGCAGAGCTGCAGATCGGGTAGTGACAGTGCGCTCCGCACCACAGCAGTATGCCCGCTGCGACAGTCCAACAGAGGCAGGAGCTGCGAGACAGTAGCCTAGAAGCAGGGTTGGGTTGTAACCATAACGGAATACATGTAACGGCGTTACGTAATCAGAATACAAAAATCAAAAATCAAGTAGGCTAACTGTATTCAGCTGGCGTTACATTTGAAAAACGAGTAATCTGATTACAGTTACTTTCGTAAACCTGAAGTGAATACATTTTGGAATACTTATTGGAATTATTGGTGGAAAAGTTTCCTCACAAAATGTAATATTCATTACCGGCAGAACTGTGTGCACACTGCACAGCGCTGCAGCATGTCTGTGAGCGAGAGAGAGATGCAGCGTGTCTGTGAGGCCCCGCCCCCGCACCGCAAATGAGAGAGAGATCTCTTTTAAAATATATTGAAAGTTAGAAACGGAGATGGTTAGATAAAATGTGCAAGATAACGTTTATGTAGCATTTATTTATTGTCGAAATTATGACATTTCATAACGGGATCAAATCAAAGTGAATGGCCTGCTGCTGCTGCTGAATGCATGGGGCAAGTGACTGGAAAAAGTTTTAAAAGTTATTACATCGTTTCAGATAATAAATAATAATGATAATTCATTCTATTTAGGCGCGCCTTTCAAAGCACCCAAGGACACCTTACAATTCATAACATATTCCAAGGAAAGGTTTTAAGACAGTACAAAGAATGCAGTCCGGGTGATGTTTTTTATGTGGGTTGCAGATGAGAGAGCTGTCCAGAATGACACCAAGATGTTGTGTTTGAGTTCTCGATAAGCCATTAAAACAGTAACATAAGGGTCTCCTGTTCACCAAAACATACCCATCTGTTATGGAAAAATAAAGCATTCCAAAAGTATTCTAAAAGTAATCTGAATACGTTTTTAAGACACGTAACTGTAACTGTATTCTGATTACTTTCAAAAATTGCGGGCCCGCGAAAGTGTCTATTGGATACATTTTGGCCCTTGGACAAATGTAGTTGGTGATCCCTGTAGTAGGGCCTCGGCAGCAAATAGAGCCATCTCTACGAAGAAGCACTGCATCTTAACTACCGTGCACGCACTGTTGTGAAAATCCTGAAAAATAAGCAGCGTTAATGCTCCTGATCAGATTCATTTAGGAAGCTTCTTTACACGTTCTAGAACAAACAATGAAGCATATCTAATCAGGAGATAACCTACTTTAGCATCAGGGTTTAATAGCATTTATTACTGAATCCAAATCCAGTTTCAAATCCTATTTTCCAAACTAAATCCTTTTGGAATATGTTAATCAATTATAATTAGGTTACGCTTCCAACACCTGCAAGTAGCTAAAGGTGACAGGATCAAAAACAGGGATTTGTAAAAAAAAACCTTTGATGGTTGATTAGGCAGGGAACCGTTTCAATACTGTGTGATTATTTAATTGGAAATGATACATTGAAGCACTAACCTCTACACCTTATTTTCACAAAGTATTTCTTAAAATATTAATCAGATATGCATACATTTCCCCTCAAATTGATGTGACGTGGTCAGCTAGATCGCTTCTCCAGAGGAGGGTATCCGCTGTCTTGTGTCTCAGGAAAAATTAGGGAGGGATTTGTTTGTATTACATGTAACAGATCCATGCATAATTATTCTTTGTACAGTATTTTATCAGGATGGTTATAAATTATCCCGCTTTTATCACTATCAAAAACATGAAAGACCATTTTTATGTTGTGAACATGAAGCCAATTCTAGAGACTTAACAAAGTTGATTTGTAGTAAAGTTCTGCATCAAATCATATACTGTAAGCATATTCTTTGTTTCATATTTAACTGGTATCTTGTGTGAGAACTAAGTGTAGTCTTCTAGAAAATACAATATTTGCCTCTGAAATGTAGTGGAGTAGAAGTATAAAGTAGCAAAGAATGGAAATACTCAAGTAAAGCGGAATTATGTAAAAGATAATACTTAAGTATGGTACTTGAGTAGATGTACCGAGTTGCTTTACACCACTAAATGTGTTTTAGTAATAATCAACTAGTCAATAAGGTGATTCAATTGTCAGTGTCGTCCATAGGAAGCTATTCTTGCCCTTCCAGTTGCTTGTGTGCGTTTGTGTATTCCTGAATGTGTTACCTTGGTGAGGGCTAAAGGATGAGGATGTCCAGCCAGGGCCATCTTCACGGTGGTCTCCCAGATGTGCGGGTCATGGAGCGCCCGGGCCGTCACCATGAACTCCACGGGCTCCGACAGGTTCCCCAGCTCCTGCTCGGCGTACACCGACCCATCGGGCCTCACGCCGAAGTTGGGGTCGCTGCTGATGAAGCCCACCTCCCTGCTGTGCTGGCAATCCTCGAACTTCACTGCAGAGGCAAACAGAAAGGGAAGTCAGGGCGGTTCAGAAGTAAATAGCAGCACAGTAAGATTTACTCGGCGAGGTGTTGGCAAATCCCTGACACATCTGGCAGGTTTGAGATTAACCTGCATCCATCAAGACGTATCTTGAAATATCTCATCCCATCCACTGTCGCTTTTGATTCCCCGCGTTGACGTCTTTGGCAAAACAAACTGCTTATCTGTTTCTGAACCGGAGTACACGGGGGGGAACCTAATTCTTTTCACATCATTCTTTTTTCCCAAACTAGACGGATTGCGATGTCAGAACAGCATTTCCTTCAGCTTCTCCAGGGAAAGCATGAAGGGAAGGTCTAAAGCACATTAGGCTGACTGGGCCGACTGGGCTCCATGCTTTGCTGCCAGACTCATGAAGGAAAGACTTGAATGACATTTGGAGGGTTCTGGCTGACTGAGACAAGAGAAAGGGAGCTGTGAGGACTCTCGTGTTGGAAGACACACACAAACGAATTCCTGTAAGAGTAATGTAGCGTTTGTTTGTGTGTGTGTGTGTGTGTGTGTGTGTGTGTGTGTGTGTGTGTGTGTGTGTGTGTGTGTGTGTGTGTGTGTGTGTGTGTGTGTGTGTGTGTGTGTGTGTGTGTGTGTGTGTGTGTGTGTGTGTGTGTGTGTGTGTGTGTGTGTGTGTGTGCAGTAGTGAAGCATGTTTAGGTCTAAAATATATGGTGTTGAGTGCATCCAAGCATATTCTCCAGTGACAGCTGACATGAATATACCATTACTACACAAAAAACACAGAAGAAACCAACAAACTTAGACACAACTATTTCGTAAAAGCTTTCGTTCCCTTGCCAAATGTAATCAATGTCATTATCCCATGATTCACAGCATGATGCAACGATGAGAATGACTGATCTGTTGTTTTCATCATGTCTTTTGTCCTAACACAAACGCATTTTTATAAATTTGAACCGCATGTGCTTTGATTTTGTCTCCCAAACTCTGGATGCTGATAACAAGACAAATTGATTTCATAAATCACCCAGGGAACAGATCGCCTGTTATGAGCTATGGCAGTGTGATTTTTCAAAAAATCCAGCATGAAGAGTTCTGCACAGCAAGGTTTTTATCAAGCCATCTATTTAATTTATTGCCCAGCTTCCTGACAAAAGCACCTTCGCAAACAAACAGGCTAATAAAGCCTGCGATCTCTTCGGCCGCCGAGACTTAGCGTCACGCAAACACGCCAGCTTGTTTTCAACCTCTGAGTAATTGCACTCGTAATGGGAAGGTTGGTAAACACAGTTTTGACAATGTGCGCGTCTGCCTGCGTTGGCAGATGTAATCCATATTGTCATAAAAAAAATACAGCCCATTGGAGAACAATACGTATGTGATTGATGAGATTTGTGTGTAAAATGATGGCCTTGCTTTGGGGATCATTTGTCAGGACGGGGGGCGATCTAACATCAGGTTTTGACAATGTGACACAGGCCTGCATGAATTGTCCGTGGATGAATTGTGATGGCAGGCATGTATTATGTAAATGACTTCAATTAGCTTGAACTGAGCAGGCTAATTGTTGTCACTTAGACAGGTCTCTTGTGGTGCAGCTGGAGAAGCGAGGCTTAAGGACACGCGCACTGCAAAGCGCTGTTTATGAACGCGTGTGAGAGTGTGTGTGTTTGTGTGTGTTTGTGTGTGTGTCACTGACTGTGTGTGCAAACGCGTAGGAGTGAATTCAAACAACAACTTGTTCGAGAGTGTCTATCCTCAGCTGGTGCATATATTAATCTGGATGTTAATTCTACAATAAAACCAGCGAGGTCTCCGAGGGTCGGTGTGTTGCCCTGTGTATTGCGCTGCTGCCAGTTGGCATGGGAACACACATATGTGCTGGTGTGAGAGGCGCTGCCACTGTGCAGCTTTGTTAGAGGAATGTATTTGATTTTATGTTAGGGCACCGGGCCACCTCTCAGTTTACTATTCACCGCCTACTGGTGTACAGCCGCAGGGGGGGCGGGACCATGATTCCTTACACTTCGCAGTGTAAAAATATTCATACATGCTTTGCAGTTCATTAAAAATCCTGTTCACAAAGCATATTGAAATCAGGTGGTGGGATCTGATCTGCCATGCATGCAGTTAAATGGAGAGGAGAGCGGCAGAATGGGGGACGAAAGACTGATGGAGAAACGACGCATATGTGTGTGTGTGTGTGTGTGTGTGTGTGTGTGTGTGTGTGTGTGTGTGTGTGAGAGAGAGACATAGATGGTAGGATAAAAGGGGAATGTGGGAGAATCACTCGCAGAGAAAAGATAAAGGTAAATTACTAAATAATTAAACTTTTTTTTTAAGATCTCAAAAACAAAAGAAAAATCCTTAGATTCAAGACAAGAGTAATGTGTGCAGATTATTTATTGCTGTCACATCATAATGGAAACAGACGCGGGGAATGAACACTGTTGATAACTAATCTGTGCTTATTTGTTGTAATTGCTCTCTGGCGCGTGTAATTCAGTTTGTCATGTTACGCTTGGCAAACCACGGCCTGCTTTTGTACGAAAAATTGAACTTGAAATGAATAAACGAAGACGAGCCTGTAGGTTGACGGCCCTGAAGGTCAGTAAACTTCAGAGTCATCAATTTAGAGAAAAAAACATATTTTACTGCATGTTCTATCCATCCTGCCACTGAACTGAACTCCATCACCTGGTCAGCTCATTTGGAGCAGGGCTGAATAGACGAGACAGGGGAGAGGCTGAGTGCAGGTCTGGCCTCTGGCTATGTGCGACAGCCGTCTACATTCACTGCATTATCTCTCCACATGCACTAGGTAAAGTTACTTTTAAACTGGCACTTTTTCTTCAATATGCATTTATAAAAGGAAATAAAATATGTTCTTCTTCATCAATTCTCAGATGATCAAATCAAACACAAGAACGTTAGTATTTACTGCCAGATATTAGTCGTATCCATTCATCCGCCCACTATGAATGTTAACGTGTTAAAGGGAAAGTTTGGATGCTTTAAGGTTGTATGTACCTGTCTAGTGTCGGTATAAGAAGGAGGTGTTCACCCCCCCACACGCAGACAGTAGTATCCATCCAAAAGGAGGCCCACCTCTAAAAATAGGTATCAGTTTAAATGTATGCTATATTAAATATATTTTCAGCACCTTTTCTGACCAGACTCTGAAGCCACATATCCACTTTAAGCTCTTTTCCAAGCCACCAGACTACATTGACAGAAAATGTGATTTTACAGCACAACTTGGGAGTTATTGGTATACGTTAGTGAATCTGAACTAACTCTTAAATCACCGAAGACAAACAAAAACAACAAAAAACGTTCTATTGGGGCAGTGGAAGCAAGCATCTCGTATGTTTCGCGAGGACAATTTACAGTTTTTGTCAATGGATTCTTGTGGCTTTGAACAGAGCCTTTGTAACAGTTTCAGGTGACTAAGATATGTTTTGCTGACGCCATCCTTCACAGCAGTCCACTGTTTTGCTCCTGTGCTGCTACACCTGCCTGCAAACAGGGTCGTGCGGACCACCATCTGCTGTTGGTCATACACTGGCTATGGAGTGGTTTCTCATAAAACCCCACTTCAAAACATCCAAACTATCCCTTGAAGTGTGTCGGTGTGAAGTTGTCAATGGGTAAAATAAAGTATACCATTTTTATTTTAACAGCACTAAGCTAATTTTGACAATCAACTTGTCTGGGGTTCTTCTCCCCGTGAATTTTTTATTCATCAACAAAATATCTAACAGCGTTCCCAGCATGCAGCTCTCTCAGGGTGAAAAACACTGTCAAGAAAACTCATGGTCTTCAATTTTTCATCACCTCGGAGCAGCCCAGAGCTTCGGCGAGTTTCTGAACATACTTCATGCAAACAGCATGGCCAGAAATGTGAATCCATGTGTTGAAATGACTGTATAACCTTTAGATAGCACTAAAAACACACATCAATCTGATTCAAAGATCAGTTCTGTTAATTGCCTTCTCCAATAATAGGCATATCAATGCGTCTTTGTGTCCTTGGCTATGGAGAAAAATTATGATTTAAATATTCATTTCTCAATCTATTTTGAATTCTTTGAGAATACCTTGTTTTTCTGTCGCTCCCCAAGGCAGCAAAAAAATCCCAAAAATATAGATAATTCTTGATGAATTACAGTAAATTGGGGCAGTTTTTAACAACAGCACAATTATATTAAATCATCAAAACTGAAACAGTATTTATGATCTGTCATACGCTCAGTACTAATCAAGCATTATTGTCTTGCAGTCCTCGATGATGTTTAACCTGAAGTGAAAAATGCATGCGTTTTGGAAATTGTGGGTATAAGAATGAATAAATGAGACTTGGATTAAACTGACGAAGTCGAGTGAGAGTTGGTAGTAGTAGCAGTAATAGTAAACCAATATGTTGATATAGTTTTTCAAGGTAACTGGTTCATTACTTGATGTACAAATCATCATGACGGGGGTAAAGTATTCTTTCAAACCACCGGCTCAAGTGTCTGTGAGTGTGCACACTTTTACTTTGTAGCTTAGATAAGTGTGTCTGTCTGCCTCTGTGTTCCTGTGTATATGCTCCTTTGAGTGTGTGTGTTCTGTATATTTCAGTGTGTTCTGTATATTTCAGTGTGTCCTGCCATCCACAGCAGTGTTTGGCAGGCCGCTGATGCTGGTGTCATTCTGCTCGGCTGCTCTTCTCTGGACTCGAACACAGCAGAGAACATGCTGTTCAACAGAGCGGCTAGCGCAGCGGCTAAAACAGAGCGGGCAAGCAGCCGTGACTGCCCACCACCAGGTCACACACACACACACACACACACACACACACACACACACACACACACACACACACACACACACACACACACATTATTTATGTATTTACTATCACACACACCACATCACACACACAGCACACACAGAACACACACACACACACACACACACACCACACACACACACACACCACACCACACACACACACACACACACACACACACACACACACACTTTGTCTCTCTCTGCTTGTAGATCCGAGACAATACCCTAGGGGAGGGCCAAAGCCGCTCTTGTATGGAAACATTACATGTGCATAATGTTTTGGGCAAG